TATTTTTAGACATAGCAAACATATATAGTACCTGTTGATAATAACAGTTTTACACAGATTTCAGCAGTCATGATGCGATCAATTGTTTAAATTAAAATATAATGTTAATAAGCATTTTTTATCCATTTATTCTATTCTTGAAAAACGAATTCTACCACTTGCATATCTAAACAAAACGTTAGAACATTTGTAACTGTTTAATTAAATCGGATTGACCAAGYAATTAATATTATAATATTAATGGAAGTCTAAAATCGAACAAAACAATAAGTATTTTTATTACATTGACATATTTAGACAAACCAATAAATGTATCATTAAATTCAAAGAAAGAGAGTTGATGAGAAAAAGATAGAAACTTAACTCTGTATAATATAAATAGAAAATTATTACTGTATTTTAATTATGAATCGGTTAAACATGAATGCATATTACGAAAATTTATATATCATGCAGTGCTTACGTGAAATGGTTAGTGTAGGAAGGCACCTATATCGTTTAGATAATACATTACCCCTACATAGCAAGAAATGATAAATTATTACGACTGTAATGACTAAGATATATCAAAAGTCATATGTTTTATTATAAATTATAATGCAAACGATTCACGCCAGACATTTATCATCGGCAGTAAAATCGATGTTCTAAACAAAAAGAAACAACGTCGCGCCAAGCCAACATTTACATATACTTAATTAGAAATATTAAATATATAAATTATTGTTGTTGAATAACCTAAAAACGATTGTGTGCTTAACACATTAACGAAATTATTCAGTAATAATTCTGTAAATTACAATAATTAATTATAATTGGGATGTATTGTTTTCATGAATGGCTCAACTAAAAGCAAATATTGTGATATTTTTAGGTAGTAAAATATTATGGAAATAATAATTATTATTGTGTGCTGTTGAAGGTAAATTAAAATAAGGCTATAGTAAACGAGTGTGATGAGTAGATAGATCCTTCTCCAAAACATTTTTTTCAATATTTATATTWTATATATTATAATATTATCTCAAGTATTGCATTTTTTTTCTAAAAACTTGCATATTATGCTTTTACAAATATTACTGTCTATTATGTATATGATATAACATCAAAGGTCTAAAATGGATGAACCTTATGCAGATCCACAGTTTTTGAGAAATTTTCATAAGATATCCATCAATATAGATTCAACTAGATTTACATTAGCGAGACTGCGCTATTCAGTTAATATATATTAATATATTGCCTTAGATCAGAGTTTCTTAACCTTTTCTAGATAATGGACCTTTTTCAAATATAAATTAGCATTATTGTTATAGCTAACCATCCCTCAAAAAAAAAACCAGTATAATTTTTATTTTTATTATTTTAATACTAATTACTTATTAGTTACTAAGGCTTAGTTAATAAATTGTTGTAAATAATCAAGTTTAGGATACAAACAAAATTTAATGTGAAATTTATGGTCGCATCTGTGACTTAAAAAGTCCCAGGGTCACCGTGGACTTCCAAAGTCCGAGTAATAATCTACATACCCTCTGGGGACTTATGTGCACCAATTAAGAAACCCCACCCTAGATACTATTATATAATATTAGATTATACTATTATTCAAATATTCAAGTGTAATAAACTGATATCATATTTTATGAACATAAAAAGTTATATATTCTATAACTTGTTGGTTTTATCTTGCATTGTTACCAGACATTAATTATGAATAATTAATTTTAATAACTCAAAGAACTACATACTATCAGTTGTATTTTAATATAGGTATACA